ATATATATATATATATATATATATATATATATATATATATATATGTGTGGGTGTATATATGTGTGTGTGTGTGTGTGTTTGTGTGTGTGTATATATGTATGTATATATATATATATATATATATACACTTAATATATATATATATATATATATATATATATATATATATATATATATATATATATATATATATATATATATATACAATTAATATATATATATATATATATATATATATATATATATATATATAATATATCTGCGAAATACTCACCTTCGTCGAATTCGTAGGTCAATAATTGCTTGCTGTACAAACTCATAATACCGACTGCAGTTCTTATGAGAAATACATCACCGTATATCGTAAACCCATCCCACACCCGCGTGGCTGTATCGAGGGGGCATGACTTGCTAAAGCATGTAAGCAGCCTGCAGTCAAAGAAATATATCGATGAGATGATTGTCATTCGTGCTTTCATGCAGAGTTATTGTCAGTAGGCTACATATAGGCACTGATACGACCTAGAAGGCTGCCACTGGCAGATACGTAAAGTCGCGGTCAATCAGGCCAGGGAACTTGTGCCGAGTTGACAGCCTGGAAAAGATATACAGTAGCACAACGGCAATTACTAGCAACCCTGTAATTGCTGCACTTGTGACCACCATAAACACACGTATGCATTGTGGTCCGAATAGGTTACTATACTGCACAGGTAAGTTCACCGAATATCTGTGTCACGAGTGCGCAATTGACAAGAAACCCTACCCATGTATCGTCTTACCATTCGTGTATGAACATATGATGGCTGACATGCAGAGATCGCATGTGCTGGTAGAGCCGGGGCAGATGATTGCGGAAGGTATAGGCAAAGGCGTCGATGTACGGTTGTGACTGTAGTAGGAAAGTGTATTTGGCTTAATTGAGAAATAGTACAATAGTGTTCAGGGTATGTGCGTATGGTTATCGGTTCAACAGACACCCGCGCTTTCTCGTTCATACCAGGCTACATAGCATTGGACACAGGAAGGTCACATAAAGTGAATCGTGAGAGTAGTGCAGATGGAGGAGCTGGTAGCAAGTGACCTCACGCAGACTCTCAGGGAGTTCGATTGTATATCTCATTTTAAAAGATAAATTCAATACTGGCTTGTTAGGGTGCGTTGTGGACTACGGATCTGTGACTCTTCATGTCCACTTTCTCAGTACGGCTGGAAAGACATTACCCAGTGCGTAGCGCTATTGTGGTAACAGTATTGAGTATAGCAGTCCCATGAGTGCTCGATGCTCGCAATTGGGACACGCACAGCTAGCTGCAGACTGCAGAAAACACATTATGTGACACCCAATATGTTCTATCGTGCTGATCGCTAAAGTAACTCGACCAAATGGACCATCCTGTTATGTGTATATACATACCCGTTCGAAAAATCATTAGGATAAGCAAGAATGGGTGAAAAGTACCGAACAAGGTCATCAATCTGCTTTTTGAATCAACATTTGTCGAGTATATCACTCACCTTTGTCGAGTATATCACTCACCTTCGCGGGCTCCATCTGATAGAACGCAGACAGCAACGGGCGATTCAACAGATTGGTGAAGCACACAAAGGCATCGGCCTCATCCATATTCAGTAGCAACATGCATGCCAAGAAGGACATGCCCTGAACCTGTGGTTATAATGATATATATATATATATATATATATATATATATGATAGAAGAATACAATCGGTTTACGCAATACAATAGCGCAAGAGTTGTACGTCAGTAGGCTTACAGCGTTTCCTTTCAACTACCACCACATGAGTGTATTTTACGGCACATAGTGACATAGAAGCTTTCAGTGGCTAACCCTACCCAAGGAGCGCTGATGACCTGGGTAAACAGTCGGTGTCGCCATGCTCTACTTGATTAATGAAGACGGAGGACTGCAAGTCATAACAACCCTAATACTCGCGATGTGGTAACCAGCACTGAGATTCGGGCCTTACGCAAGTACCGCGATTCAGGTACACCGAACCTGAACAGACACAGCGCACCGTACAACCACTTACGTATCCAACATCTGGTCGATAGCAAACATAAGTCTCCAGCAGCCGCCGTAGACTCCCGTGGTACGGTCCTGTGGATGCAAGGTAAGGCGGGAATGAATACATGCGTAGTCGCGATCCTGTCGGTCACCAAACAAGCGATACTTTCCTAGCCTTCAGGGCACTCGTTGGATTTCCACCACACTCGACTACACTGCATGAAATGTGCAGTCACGACTATCGACGCGCAAACCAAGTCTGATACTACGGTGACATATGCACACACGTACTACTTCTCAGTGATCATGCACACACCTCCAGTACGGAAAAATTCGAGTAACGGGAATGTGCGGTTGAGGTCAAGGTGGATCTGCTTCAGTGATGCCTCGTTCCCAATGGCTCGTACTGTGGGCTATGAATGAGTGGAAATAGACGGCCGATGAACATCACGTACCCATACCCCAATGTTATCTGCAAGTTGTAACTTAGAGATTGTACTTACGACGGGACTCCTTTCACTCCCACCAAACCTGTTTGCCATATTAATCTGCTGGGCGCAAACCCCGCGCAAAAAGATAGGGAAGCTATCATTCGAAACACCTTACTGGGACAGCACATATATACATAGAGCAAGGTAAACAAACCTGCCTTACCCAAAAAAACTCGTAAGACAACACACAATAGGTAAGTTAAAGACCCTGCTATGATGATGCGTACCTCTACACAACACTTGCACAACCCATACAATACATGATGAACAATTATGCTTCGTTCCTTTGAACACACCTTGACACCTTCCTCGTCAGACAATTGAGCCTCCTTGAGCGCAGTTACTCGTTCTTGGGCGTGTGACTGGAAGGCTTCGTACAGAACTGGGTAGGACAGTATGGGTCACGTGTGCAAGTATTCAGTAGACTGCCATTAACGTAAAGTCTATGTACGATTATATCGATGGTGTATTGTATGTCAAGTGCGGTGCATGCGTACGTATCGCGTGCGCTTACAAGATGAAGGGCATGTCAATAGAAATCTCATGATGGCTCAAGCACATTGTCCATTAAGCGCTCTGCTATGAGCATACTTGAATATCATAGACGCAGATTTTTTGTATTGACAGCAATTAAATGTACACACATACACATACTGAATAGTCCTTGTTATAGCCTTATAGCTACCATGGGGTCAAGCTATTATGAAAGTAATCAGTAGTGAGAAGAAGTGAACGCGTTTCTCTCAGCGAACTCTGCACCACCACCGTACTACAACTAAATCGATCACACCACGCACTTTACAATTTGTGACGGTTTGAGCTGCACAGGCCTAATCCTGCTGTTCCAACAGTACCGTACATAAGCATGTCTGTGTCTGACATAAATGGTTGCACTGCAAATTGATAGCCCCGGACGCTCTAGATTTCTCGACATACGACCAAATGCAATAGATCCTTTGAGAATGTCGTGAATATACATGTCCCCTCCATTGCCAGCGTGCTGGACTGCATATTTGTCCTACTGCTACTCAGATATGTAGTGGATCCTGTAAAGCATATATCGTTCGCGACAACAAAACAGATGCTTCCGCGAAGACTGAAAAATGGATAAACACCACAGCAGGATGTAAAGTAGCGCACGCACCTCCTCTCACGTACAATGACGATCATCTGCACATATAAGCATACCTGGAGTAACCTGCAGATAATTGCCCAGCCCTTTCTTCCATATCCTTTCCCGCGCACTCCCCGGCACGCCCATATAAACCATTTCCACGACGTATCGCTCGCCTTTCTTTGCGTCTAAGTGCGGTAGTAGCGTGTCCCATTTCTTAACCTGGGCCGTTTGGTCCTCGTTTCTCTTCTCTCGCATGACCCGCATAGCCTCCGGCGTTTTGGAATGGCCCTGTGTGATCTTACTCCTGTAGGTGAATGTGTACCATGCATATCCAATGATATATAGTCAACGACATTGTAAGTAACAGGGGTAAATGGTTGACGCTTTGCTTGAGTGTTCTTTGCTGATTTGAATGTGAGTATATCTTCATGTACATGACTTATAAGCCACGAGACTGAAGCTATGGCCGTATTGAGTTTTGATGCGTGAGAGAATCGACTTTCTTCTTGGAGGATATAGACATGCGTAATATCACTCAGAGCCAATAAATACTGCCTCAAAAATTGCGAGACCTTTTTGGGATCGAGCCACAGACCAGACGGCATTTCACGCGTGAGACATAATAAACTAAACTCCATTAAGGGAGCAGCTAAAACACACCTGAAGTGCATGCAGAATAGAAATGTGTAACCAAATATCACAATCAACGATGTGTGTCTGGCGGACAACATTCAATGGATTACGATTACACTGCGATTGCGATCGAAACAAGAGGTGGTATCATGATACAAATATGTAGTACACCAAGACATGCATCTCAGATGTTGTTGATGCTTACCAAGTAGAATTGAACCCGCCGCTGATCTTCTTGAAAGAGTCGATGAAATTGTCCAGACCATTTTCTTGAAAGACCTATATTGGTGTGATGTGGTGTGGTGTTTCAGGTACACATGAATTACTACATTTTTCGGAATTGGACTACCTGGGTATCTGGGTCGCCCGATCTGTTGGAATTAACTGGTATTGTATGACTTGCAAGGTGCACATAGGCACTTGGCCGGAATGTGATCAACGCAACAGCAACGGGTCCAATGACAAGCACACGTACATTTCGCACTTTGTTTTGAACTAAAGATAGCAAACACGCATACTTTACTTGCAATTAAATCCGACAATGTATACAATTGAACGGTATGGTATTGTGTACTTGTACGGGCTCACCTTTCTCCCAGTGCTATCCGATGACTGTACTCTCTTAGTATCAGTAGCGGCGCTCTTCAGCGGCGCCAGCATATGCCCTTTGGGGCTGGTGACGGTGGACATGGACTCTGCGGGTAATGTGAATGGGTGTCGTTGGCTAATGAATTCAGCCACGTTCTGTCTCATTCAACATATAGGTGTGATGTGATGCATCATTGCACCAGCACAGGCCGATCAGCGATAAAAGTATGCTGTTAAGGGCTAGCTGGTTAAATACCATAAGTCTCTGTGTGCACGTACGCTCGGGCTTGCGTCGTAATTTGCAAATAAATCTATACTTCAGAAATACCGATGAAAAATCATCGAAGACAATTTAAGCGCCAGATCTATCTTGTTGTCGGACCTAATCACTCGTCCTTGCGCACAGATACAAAGAAAAATAGGCATACACCAACACACACGCAAAGACGCTATAGTCACATGCCTAGACACCTCATTTCATCTACGAATTTACAATCTAGTATACAAAAGAGTATTTGCACGCAAGAATGCACGCACATACTCGTTAACGGGGCTAGATCCGATGCAGTGTGGGGTAAGCCGTTGCCTTGCGATGCCGCACTCAGATTACTCACACTGACCGAGCGGCCATGTAGGCTAGATTTTCTCCTGGTGGCTGGGTCATCAAAAGCATCGTTTACGAACACATTGATTTCCTCTGAATGACTGGCTAGGCTGGCGGTTTTGTCCCCGGCAAGCTGAAAGGTCTCAGTTTGAACCTCTGCCGTTCTCGAGACTACAACACGCAACAGCATATAAAGTCGCGATGAGAGAACCCAGAAAAATATCATGGATGATCACGAAGGAATGAGCAGTGAGAAAGTGGTCAACAGTAGCGCAGTTAAACTTAATCCACCTATCAGCCAACACGATCTTAAGCAAATGATGTATTAGAATGTGGTCTACGACATGAGCAGATACTACATCTTGAACAACACAGAAAACATCAATTGAATGAATCCGTAAATGCTCAGAAATACATCTGAGGGCGCTCCGAAAGTAAACGCGTGTGTACATCTGTATTGATAAGACAATACGCCAGACACCGAACCTCGATACATACCACACACATGTATATATACATATATATATATATATATATATATATATCTATATATATGTATGTATG